ACACTTTCCAGCATCTCCTCTAGGCACCCGCACTTCGTGAAGAGATGGATCAAAGACGTGGCCACCACCACGTCCTTCTGAAATCCAAGCTCCCCGGCTTTTCACCCCTTCTTTGTCCAAGAGCTTGCATGCTGCCAGGGCCTTTCGGTCCATGGCAGCAATGCGAGACACACTGGAAGATGCGATCACAGGGGCTGGAGCCGGATGCTTTCACGTACGTAGCAATCCTTGGAGCTTGCTCAGTCCGGATCCTTTGCGATAACGGCAAGCACATCCACAAGTCACATACTTGAGAGCAAACAACACTTTGGAAACATAAGTGTGAGGAAGACGCTCCATCACCATGTATCCGAAGTGTGGACTCCAAGAGCTTGTTCCTCACCCTGGAGTTGTAAACTGGAATTTGTTCATAAGCCCGCGAGTATCGACGCTGAGGATCATCAAAAACTTGAGTTTTCCAACAGTATGACAGTCCGAGCATGGCGTCCAAGATGATAAACTGGCATATTATTGCCCGAGATGGAACTCGGTTTCATCACTTTGATATAGAATTTGCTCTACTGTCTCTCTTTCTTCTGGGATTTTAAGTTTCAGTGATCGAAGATCAAATAGAGATCTTGTCAACCAAAGGGGGAATTCTACAACATCGGACGTTGGAAAAACCATTGTACGGCAAGACACAAAGAGAAGCAGTGATCACAGTCACTGCTGTTTCTTTCTCATCGCCATTTAAAAGAAAAGAAAAGAAAAGGAAAAAAAAAAACGAACCATAATGATGGGATGACTAGTTTCTCGATAGAAGAAGAAATCCTGGAAAACTGTAATTAGCTCCTAGAGAGCTGCCAGAGAGATTTTTAAACTCCAATCCCTTGAGCTTGCTTCTAAAGCTCCATTGACCGGAGTTTCCCCGGGATGTGATCTCTCACGTTGAAAACCCCGGCCAGCCTCAAAATGTCCACTATCGCTTGCACAAACTTGTCGACATCAGCCAGCATGTAAGTTATCACGTTCATGTTCATGCGAGCAGAACGGACTCCCGCGTTCGTCACAGAGGGGTCGAGCAAGACCTCTCGTCTCTGGAAATTACTTTGGAGACCACTACAGTGGTATAGCTTTCAGCCAATACACTCCAGAAGTGAAATTCTACAGGAAACTTATCAACAAATTCGCTGGCTGGACGTCCAAGGTTTGGAGAAGCAATAAGATCATGGACAGGGTAAACAGGCACCTCTTTTCAATCTTGCAAGATCGGCGTGAGAACCTCCGGTTTTCACCAGCGAGGAGCCCATGGCATTCATAGACGTGCTCATTTCCAGAGAAAATCTCTGAGACATCATCATAGTCTCTTGCTCGTTAAGTTTTAGCTCAACATGGAAAAATGGAATCTCACAGGATCTGTTGCTAGGAGCTCTAGCTACCTCGGCTCTCTCGCTGGAATGGGCTATGGCCGATCTTCTCAGGAATCGCCGAGTTCTCGGCTCAGAGCCAGATCGATGCAAAGAAAAGCTTGTGGACGAGTAGGACATTGCAAAGCTTCCATACATCGAGGCCATAGCCAAGGAAACACTGAGACTCCTGGCTCAGCTAGCTCTTCCCAATATCGTCCAAGGAGGCCCGATTAAACTCAGGGGCTATACCATCCCGGACGATACCACGATCTACATCAACACCTACTGGATCGCCATGGACGAGAGGTTTTGGAAAGACCCTCTAGAGTTTCGCCCGCAGTGTTTCATGCCAGACATCGATGCCTTTGGCCATGGCAGGAGAATTTGCCCTGGTGCCAAGCTCGGCGACTGGAAGCCTGGATCAAACCTGTGGACTGGTTTGTCAAAAGAGTCAACCACCGTTTGTAATATTAAGGAAACAATTATCGAGCACTATTAGTGCTTCCATTCTTTCCACTGTCAATGCTTTCACTGTTTCTTTGAAAGAAAGATGATCCCACATAAAATATAAGCTGATTTCGTGTACGATTTTAGTCCAACCACAAAGGGTAGCTACCAAAGCTGTGTGAGTTAGGGTTTGCGATGGAGTGGATGAGCCCAAGACTTAGGGAGGTGCTCAAATTAGCAGAGGAGAAAATGAAGAGCTACGAGGAGGTCAAGGCTGCCCGGCCAAGGAAAGAATCGGCCGACAAGAAGAAAGGATGGGAGGCGCCCAACCCGGAGACCGAGGTATCAAAAAAAGCTCCGCAAGAACTCCTTCCCAGGTATGACAAGCCCCGGACAGACGTCTCTGTGTCAAGGAGCGTTGATCCCTGTCTCTAAATAAAATAATGGAATTTCGTAAGAAGATGGGTAATATCCAATAGGAATTCAATCTCTAGCGAGCGAACCGTCGAGTCCGTGAGAAGAAGTTCTTCCTCCTTTGAGCCCAGAAACAAAAGAAATGATGGAGTGCTTTTTACTTTTTTATTTTAGCCGCGAGACTCAAGACAACTTTGGAAGATCCAAGTCTCTAAATTGCGACACTAAGCACCAGATCAACAACTCTTCCTTGTGTTCCTCTAGGATCTCTGCCAAGTCTCTCCCGGACAAATTGGTGGACACAAGTTTTCTTTGGGAATGATTCATAGGATCTTTGCAAGAATGAGGTGCCCGGAGTTCGTTCTTGCTCACGAACGACCAAGATCTGGGACTCAAGCCATATGCTCTGGTGCGTCAAAACTTTCACCGGCAGCTAGATGAAAAAATAGAAGCAAACACATTGCCAATAGTATCAAAGGCCTGTTCATTCCTCTCCAATTTGAGGATTCTTGTTTAGGGAAGTCTTCATCAGGATATTGGTCATAAGGACTTCTAGCTTGAAAAACATTGCTCGTTAATGTTTTATTTCGTTAAAGTGGGTATCCCACTTATGGTGTGTGGCCACATGCCATTTTTATAACAACAATAAAAAATTGAAGTTATAACTTTATAATTTATAAATTAAAAACTTTTCATATGATTTTGTGTTATAATATTGTGAAATATAAAAAAATAAATTAAAAAACTAATAGAAATATTAATAAATATTAATTAAGTACTAGGAAATGGCATGTGGACACATGCTAATTAATGTCCCACTTTACTGAATAAATCCCACTTTAACGAAATAAAACATGTTATAGCATCACACTATTTTTGCTGACAAGGAAGTTCACCAGACAAGCTTGTGGCCCAATGTCAGCTCACCCATTAACCAATTTATAATTCTCCAGATGAGAGTTTAAACTTGAACAAACTATTTGTGAGGATTGTTCAAGCTTTCTGTTGATCTCTACATGTGATCCTCGCGAGCTTACTTCCCGGATTGATGCCCGCGCACGACAGGACGACAATGGATCTCGACATCTGCGGGAAACTCTTCCAGGAGGTCCAGACCCGTGACGTAGCGTCGTGGATTGCTGCATACACCGCGAATGGGCATCACTACGAGTTCCTGAAGCTCTCCAGCGGCAAAACCAGGAAGATCTTAACCTGTGAGACGCGAATCTGGCCGTGACACCGACCTCGCTACGGTTTCCCCGAGCTCTGAAGCTGCTCAAACGGAGTTACCTGGGAGGAGCGCTCGCTTTATCTACGCGGACTTGAACTTCTGCAGTGGGAAACGCCATCTGCACGCAACGAGGCTCCGTTTTCCTGTCCGCGAAACTCTACACCGAGGACGAGTTAAGTGCTCGAGTACGTCAAGGCCCTGGACGGAACACCTTCGAGAAAAGCACCATCAGCCTTGATCGGAGCATTCTACAAGGTGGCCTCGCTGAGCGTCCTGAGTCGAGGATCACCATTTGCGACTACGCCAAGAACTGGAGCACTCGCTTGATCTCGGCTCGGATGCGGACTGGAGTTGCCTGCTCATCGACATCCGCAGCTTGGAAGATGCTCGTAAGTGTTTCGAGAGGAGCTCTGGACAAACGGCAGAAGGATGCTTCCACATGAGGATGGCGCTGGAAGGCGGTGCTAAGCGTCCTGGAAGTGAACAGAAGAGAGCTCCTCCACGGGAGAGGCTGGCAAACGGACGTCTTGGTCGGGACCGTGGCGCTCAACGTTCAGGCTGGTCTCTGATTTATTTAGCAAGGTGTATAGTTCCGCACGCTAATGTTAAATGAAAATGGTAAGAAATCTTAATCTACAAAGTAATAGCAAAGTTACCAAATCAGTGCTTGAGAGTAGTAATCCTGATTGATTAGATTGTTACGTCTCATGTTCAAGAGTCTTTCTCCAAGACATACTTTCGTTATACAAGGAATGGCATCCTTTACAAACAGTGTAAAAAACAAACATTAAAAATAAAATGCAAACCTGTCATCCAGGTGTACGATGTTAGAGGAGCCCATCTTAAAAGGAAATATATGAAACGACTTTCGATGTACAGTGAATTGAACCACAAAATCCGTGTAGATTTGATTGGGGGGCGCTGAAAAGAACGAGTAATCGAGATTCAAGCAGGACTCACCATTGTGAGATAGTTCTCGGAAAAAGAGCTTCACGTTCGTAAAAATTGACGTGAGCATCAGTGATATCCAGGCTGAAGACATACCAGAATACCATGGATCTCTGAAATATCCACCTGAAAGTTTAAAAGGATGCCGTGGGATGAGCTGGGCAGACACGTAAGCAAACGTGGCTGCCGCCGTGGCTTTATTATGTTATTTATGGAGGCCCTGCGAGTTAGGGCTTGCGATGGAGAGCATTAGCGAGGCTCTGAAAATGGCAGCTCGTGAGGCAAAGAAGAAGCGACATAGCCGATGCGAGGAGCAGGCCCGGGCTGCCGAAGAAGCCCTAGAAAACAGCCTTTGCCGGACGAGGAAAGAATAGGCGCCCAACCCCGAGCCCCATGTATCAAAAAAATCCCCGCAAGAACTCCTTCCCAGGTATGACAAGTCTGTTGAGGAGCGATGATCCAATAAAACTAGTGAACCTTTGTAAGACACGGGTAGTTTCCAATGCGATCGCGTCGTGAAGTGGGGATCTTACTTCCATTTCTAGCAGAATCTCGATCAAGCCTGCGATCGGATGATCTCCTCCTCCAAGCAGCGAGCAGCAATCAGCGATTCCAGCGCTTTCGCGTCGATTCTCTGGAGCTGCGGCAATCTCGAGCAGGGGAAGAGTATCCAGGCATGGATGATCGACAATGGAGGGATGGACAGGGGGACCTTCTTCGGCAATCTCTTGGTCCAGATGTTTGGGAGCTGTGGCAGCATTGAGAATGCACAGGCAGCGTTCCATCGAATCCACGGCCGGAACTTCTTCTCGTGGAAGATCTTGCTTGCGGCGTATGCCCAGAACGGGGAAATGACCCTCGCGAGCTCGCTGCTTGGATTGATGCCCGCCCACGACACCGTCGCGTGGACAACCATGATCACTGGCTATGGAAAGAGCGGCAATCTCCACATTTGCGAGAAACTCTTCCAGGAGATCCAGACCCGGGAGGACTGTGGAGTGGCGTCTTGGAACGCGATGATCGCGGCATACACCGCGAATGGGCATCACAGCGAGAGGGCTCGGACGGGAAAGCTCATGCTCTTGGATGGAATCCGCCCAAACAAATCCACTCTCATGAATCTCCTGGAGCTCTCCAACACCAGGAAGCTTTGCCAGTGTTTGATCGAAGAGACCGAGCTCCAGTGTGATCCCACTGTGGGAGCTTCGCTGTTGAGAGCTCACGGGCGATCTGGAAAGCTTGCGGAGGCGAGAGCCATCTTTGAGAGGATCCGGGGTGACAAGACTCTCATCGCTGGAAACACCATGCTCTGGGCTTACGCGCGAAACAGCTGCTTGGTGGAAGCTCGCGAGTTCTTCGAGGGGATGGCTCGACGGGACGTTGTCTCGTGGACGACGCTCTTCTCGGGATGGATCCAGCAGCAGCATACTGGCGATGGCGATCTTCGCGATCTTCATCGGGCCAAGAGCGTCTTCGATCGAATGCCCCAGTGGAACACTGTCTCCTGGAACTCAATGCTGGCGGGGCTCGGATCCAGCGGAGAAGTCGAGGCTGCGGAGGAGATGTTTGAGCTGCGAGCCGGAGGAGAGCTCCGAGACGTCGTGACTTGGAACTCGATGATCACGTCCTACGCTCGCCATGGGAGCTTCTCTCGAGCGCTGAGCCTGCTCAAGCGGATGGACTTGGAAGGGGAGCCTCCAAACCGAGTTACGTGGATCACCATCCTCGACTGCTGCGATGATCTCCAACATGGAAGGCTGCTTCACGACGAACTGGAGCGCTCGCCTGATCTCAGCTCGGACGCGGACTTGAGTTGCCTGCTCATCGACATGTACGGGAAATGCCACAGCCTGGAAGACGCTTGCAAGTCCTTCGAGAAGAGCTCCACCACCACCAGTGTAAGGTCATGGACTGCATTAGTCGGAGCGTTTGTTGCAAACGGCTCAAACCGGAGAGCGATTGAGAGCTTCCACAGAATGGTGCTGGAGGGCGTCCATTTTGACAAGGTGGCCGTGCTGAGCGTGCTGGAAGCCTGCTCTGGAGCCGGAAACTTGGACAGAGGACAGCTCCTCCATCGCTATGCGGTCGAGAGAGGCTGGCAAACGGACGTCTTGGTCGGGACCGCGGCGCTCAACATGTACGTCAAGTGTGGGAGATTCGAGCAGTCGAAGCTCGTCTTCGATGCCTTGCCGGAGAAGAGCCTCGTGTCGTGGACGTCGATGGTGTCCAGCTATGCCGGGAGCGGACGCTTTGCCGAGGCGCTGAGAGCTTTCAAGCTCATGGACTTGGCCGGCCTGGGAATGGACGGTGTCGCTCTGGCTTGCATCTTCGACGTCTGCGCGGCCTTCACAGCTCTCTCGGACGGCAGCGCTGTCTACTCGAGCGTCGAGGCGAGCGGCGAGAAGCTCGATGTCACTGCTGGAGCAGCCGCCATCAACATGTATGGAAAATGCGGAGATGTGTCGAGCGCGGCGGAGATCTTCTCGCAGTACCGGGCCTGGGAGTGGAGTTTGGTGCTCTGCACGACAATGGTGGCCGCCTTTGCTCGAAACGGACATGGCCGACGAGCTCACGAGCTTTTTGAGTTGATTGAGCTTCAAGGACTAGAACTGGACGTTGTCAGCTTCACCACCATTCTTGCTGCGTGTAGCGCTGCCGGGCTGCTCCACGACGGTCACGGGTACTTTGTTTCCATGAGAGGGGACTATGCTCTCGCTGCCACCATGGATCACTACGTTTGCGTGATCGATCTGCTGGCAAGATCTGGGCGAGTTGACGAGGGCCTAGCTTTGCTGACAACCATGCCTTTTGAGCCTGATGGAGTCTCGTGGGTGACTGTGTTGAGCAGCTGCAAAACTCATGGCGATTTTGATGTGGCTGCCACCCTTGCTGCTCGAGTGCCTGCCTCGGAAGCCGATCATCCAGGAGCGCTCGTTACATTCTTTAATCTCATTGCAGATTCATCACCATTGCTCGGTTAGAAAACGATACCAAACAGATTTTTTACCTCAACAGTTCCAACAAATGTTGGAACGAGGTTCAAGTCGAGTTGCTATTGTGACCAATCTGTCGCCGACGGATTTCCATTTCAGATGAGTGCTGAGTCCATGTCCGACAGTGGAGCTGGATTGGAATCATAGAAGGCCCAGAGTGAAATCACTACAGAAAAGAAACAGAGTGTGAAACACACCTAGCAAGTCGTCGTCCTGGTCCTGGAAACCCGATAGCTCAAGAAACAGTGGTGGAGAGGACCGTGTTGCCTGAGCCCGATTGACGCTTTCCTTTTGTACAGTCAAAGGCGTGAAATAGTGCTCTGAGGTCGTGTTACTGGTGCTGGTGTTCTCAGTCGCGGCCTCAACAGGCTTTGAGAGTGCGGCATCGTGAACTGCTTGCCGCAATTCTTTGAAATCATCTGGAATATAAAAGCCGGCGTAGTCGATATATAAGACGTTACTGAACATCTTAGAATACCTTCGTAGTCCTTGTGGTCAGAGAAAGCCAGTGAAGACGGGCGGAGGTCCAAATCATCGTCGTCACCACCTTTGTGCAAAAGAGAAAACGGCGAAGACAGTGTTGGCAGCTGAGGAAGCTTTAGTGTCGGGCTTGGAGGTGCCAGTTCTAGGGGTCCAGGAGTGCCTCTATCATCAGCAACACAGTCCGAAGTCACGTCCTGCAAAAGCTAGTCAGGACATGGGCTCAAACAAGGTGGTCACGTACTTGAGAGGAAAGTGCAGAGTCAGAATACACGCTATACCCAGCGAAAACAGCTTGAGAGGCAGAAGAAACCGCAGGGTGATTGACATGTTGACGGAGTTTGTTAATGTTTGCTTCCATTCCTGGAATGGCTTCCTTTAGCTGCGCAATGAGCACCTGAAGAACAAGTCCTTTTTAACAAACAAAGAAACCCAGCAAAAAGAATTAATACCTGCATATTTGAGAGGTGTTGTTTTTGCTCCGCTAACGTTGCCCGTAATGCTTGTGTGTGTCCCTCACAAGCATCCACCGCATTTATAAGATTAGGACCAGTGCCTTGATTTTGTCGTGACTGTACGACAATCCCAGTCATGTAAGCAAGTTAGACAAAGCTAAAGTTTTTACCAGCTTTTGAGCTTGTTTGTGTATGCGTTGCAAAGCATGGGTCCACCGTCTAATAACTTCAGCAACATCAAGCGGGCTCGACCCTTTAACTGCCCTGTCTGTTCTGGCTTCGTCGCCATGAGCTGAAGTTTCCTGCTTTTCTAGTTGCTGATTGCAGCCATCGTCATTGGAGTTCAATGAACTTGGTATGACATTCATCCCTCTGTCGATGGCCACACGCAAAGCCGATCCATCTATACGATACCTATAAGCGCAGCGTCAAACAAAATCCAGGAACCAAAAGATTAAACACCTGTGGTCACGATGAGCAATCAAGTCTTCTATAGGGCCGCTTGCTAGTTTGTCGTGCCTCTCTATAATCAACAGAAAATCAGACAAGAATAAGAGAATACAGAAATTCAAGAAATGCAAACTGACCGGTATGTTTTAGAAGAGACTCCCAAAGCGTTGTAGCCCGAGACGCTGACGTTACTTTCTGATTTGCAAATGCTCTAGAACTTTGTAGCTCCTGCATTTTCTCCAGCTCTTGATGTAAATAAGCCTAATCGACAGCAAGACGAGTTCAAAGTAGGGAGAAAGAAGAAGTTAGATACCTCTTCAGCACACAAAGCCCGGTATTCAGCCGTCATGTCATGAGCAAGACTGGACCACAATGCCTGTTTATGCACGGCCGCAGACGCACCTTGCAGGAAACGCCTACGCTCTAGAGCAATACGTGCCTGCCAAAACACGCAAGTTCCAACAATCAATCAATCAACCAAATCTACCAATCAACACTCCACCTTTGTCACGGCAAGGAGAGCTGATGCATGTGAATTTTGCGTGATGACTTCCGTGAGCGACGCTGGCAAGGGGTTCTCGGCAACATCCGCTGGGAAGTTCCGTCGATGAACTTCTCGCAGAGCGTGGGCCGAGAGCTGCCATAATAGCTCCACAAATCTAGAGAAGGAAAAACGAAAAAAATTCAATCATAGGAACCACGGAGGCAAAACAAGACCCACCTCTGACCACAGCATGTAGCTAGCGAGGAAACCCGAGAGCTACTCCGAGGTAAAGCCCCTTGAGCCTCTAGCTCGTTGATAAGACCCTGGACAATCTGCAAAGAAAGGAATTTTCCATCCCTTGAGAACTCTAAAACGAGCCAGAAGCACAGCGAAAGAATGCGTATTACTGTACTTTCCGGAAGTCGCGAGACTGTGCCGCGTCGAAAATCGGCCAGACACCGGCAAAATCCTGCGAGATCGAGCGTGAGCGCCTCAAATCAACCTACATTCTCGCCTTCTTCCTCACCTTGGCGGCCAGCGACGGCCCCCGAAGCGCCGAGAGGAGAAAATGTAGCAGCGCCTCGCCGACACGCGGATTGGAGTGCCGGAAGAGGCCAGCTCGCGATCCAGCGCCTTGCCCTAGAATGCTGGCATCCAGGCCCAGGAGCAAGCAGTTGCCGTAGAGCGCCGCTTCCATCTCCGTCTCCTTGTCGCGGATCACATCCTTGGTAGCCTCCATCTTGGAGAGAAGGCTGCCATTCTCCATAGCCTAAACTCTCCGCTCAAAACAAAGAAGCTCCACTCAAACAAACTAAGACCACCTTCTAAGGTAGCTACTGTGAAGCCGGCGTGTCCCTAGCAAAGACCCAGTGCAAAGCCAACGAGTCCCTGGCCATTAAAAAATGGGAATGTTTCCACTCCAAGGGTTTGGATTTTTAGGGTTCCAAAGGGAGAAAAGAAAAGAAAGAGAGAAGAAATGGTGTGGCACGATTCTGATTCAGATTCAGATTCCAGCTGCCGCGATCATCACACCACTGCTGCCGATCGAGCGCGGAAGGTAGTGAATCGATTCATTGTTGTCGCGGCGCCGTGATTTTCTTCTTCTTTGTCTGGAATTTTTGCCAGGATTACTACAAGATCTTGGGAGTGGACTGCGACGCTTCCACTGACTCGATTCGAATCAGCTACTTGCGGCTCGCTTTGGTAGATTTTCCAAGCACAGATTTTTCCCCAACTTGATTTTTTCGTACTTTTTTTTTGTGTGGCAGAAATGGCATCCAGACAAGCACCAAGGACAGGATTCCGCGGCGACACTCAAGTTCCAGGAGATCAACGAAGCGTACACCGGTTAGATTTCGTTCCTCCTTTCTAGTTCTTACTCAAATCATGCGAAGAACTCCAGCAGAGTTCGTATCATACGAAGAACTTTAGCGAAGTTGTAGCTAGAAGTAGATGATTTTCAAGCTACTCACGAGGGTTATGATGCTAGTGATCGCGTGCAGTGTTGAGTGACCCGGCCAAGAGACGAGACTATGATATGAGAGCCGATTTCAACGTCCAGGAGTACAGCATCATAGTAAGAGTCACTCACATTTTCTCCTTGTTCTTCGTAGAGGGTCACTAAATCTTTCCATGGTTTTCGCTACAGGAGTATCTAAATCGATTCAAAGGCTTGATTCTTACGTGCAATGGTCTTGGAATTGGCGACCTCTCCGAGTGGTGATTACTCTCTTTTTTTCTGGTTCTTTTCATTTCTAGATTAATTTACAAGGTAGCTATGTTCTTCCGGGGGCGTGATCTTGCATTTTCATCTTGGTTGTCTCGGGATTTTTTGCAGGATGGAGCAATTGCTGCGACTCGGCTATGAGGAAGTTGTGAATATGTACAATCAATGAAAAGGAAATAAGTTTTAAGGGCTCTTAAAGGAAATATTTAACCGTCCCGTTATCTTAAACCTAGAAATTCGATCTCCATTCTTATGTTCTTCCAAGATGGGTATGTTCTTCTCTCGATTCTTTACTTCCTTGTTCGGCGATAGGGAAGCTCGGATCCTCGTCTTGGGCCTGGACAACGCCGGCAAGACCACGATTCTCTGTATCCTTTGATCGATCCGTCAGATCTAGCGCTTCTAGGTTGAAATTCCGCGGCGATCTCCGCCCGGGGGTCCTTAACTCGACATTTCAGATCGATTGCAAGCTGGGGAAGTGGTGGAGACTGTGCCGAGTGAGTGAGATTTGCATTTTAGGTCTTGGATCTAGCTCACAAGTTCTCTCTTCCCGTCTCTTCCAGCGATAGGATTCAATGTAGAAACCGTACAGTACAACAACATCAAATTTCAAGTATGGGACTTGGGTACGTGCCTTTCAATTGTTCTTTGCTCTTTCCAGAATCATTGAAACTTCTCTCGACTTCTCTCGATCATAGGTGGCCAGACGAGTATCCGGTGAGTGATCGCGGTCATTTTTTCTTTTGTTTCAAACACTTTGGTTTGCTGACACTCATCATTCAGACCTTACTGGAGATGCTACTTTCCAAACACACAGGCTGTGATTTACGTTGTTGATTCGACTGACACGGAAAGAATGGCAACTGCAAAGGACGAACTCCACGCTATCCTAGAGGTTCTTTTGTGGTTTTTCTCTCGCTAACACTCGTGCTAAACTTTAGGAAGAGGAGCTCAAGGACACAGTTGTCTTGATCTACGCCAACAAACAGGTCTGTTTTGATTTTGTGTCCGCGAGGGAACTAAATTCTGGCTTCTCAACAGGATCTCCCGGAAGCGCTCGAGAGTGCAGCAGTCTCGGAGTCTCTCAACCTTCACAAGATCAAGAACAGAGAATGGGCCATTTTCAAAACTTCGGCAGTCAAAGGCGAGGGATTGTTCGAGGGCCTCAACTGGTAACACTGCTACAGACTCGTGCCTGATTTGATGGTTGCTTCTATCTCGCAGGTTGAGCGACACATTAAAATCCAAGGGAAGATAGCTCGACTTGATCGGAAGAGAGAAACCGAAATTTGTAGAAGCACGCAGTTGGATAAGGTATCACTTTTTTCCCTGCAAAGCTTGTTAACAGTTTTATAGGAAAACGAAGAGAAAGTACTTTTCTGGGGATATCTTTTGTATCCAATGGCCTGGATTTCAGATTCCACGACACTTGTCACCGTGAAACCGGACCAGATGGCAACTACTTGTCATGCAAATCGCCACGAAGCTCCGTTCGTGAAATTGGACAAAGGATATATAGTCGTGAACCAGGGAAGCGTGACACCATTTCTTGGAAGAGAGTTACATCACATCGACGAGAAAGAAGACGAACAGCATGAGGGGTATCGCGCTCTCAGGCATATACAGGCGCTCGAGCAGCAAACTCGGATCGCCTGGAGCAGCATTCTCGACGATTGCAGCTCGGCAGCAACAGCAGCAGCAGCAAGTGAACTACGGTGCTGACCCGAAGCCGCAGCCGAACCCGGCAGCCAAGCCGCTCGATATCGATGCGCAGCGCCGGGATCAGCAGCAGCAGCAGCAGCCGCAAGTTGATGGTCAGGCTAAAACCATCGGTGATGTGAGTTATCTCTTCTCAGTTTTTCTCTCTTTTGTTTCTTCTTTGCTTTTGCTCGTTGCGTGATTCCATGATTTCTGATTCCATGGTGTTTGATTCCAATGCCAGGCTCTCGAGGAGGCTGCTGCTAAATCCGGTGACAAGCCACTGGAGCTCAAGGACACGCGAGTGATTCAAAGCGCCGAGGCGCGGGCCACTGGCGCGGCGGCTGGTGTTCTGGGTGGGCCTGCACAGTACGCGACGCGTCTCTATGAGAATGCTGAGAATGCTACACTGGGGGAAGCACTCCAGGTGCCAGATTTTTAATTTTTTTTTTTCATTCCTTCATTTCTTCCACTCAGCCCAAGATTCTTCTTCCACCCAGCCCAAGATCTTTTTTCTTTCTTCCAGTGATCTTGCTCGCTAACTACATTGCTTTGGTTGATTTTATAGGACGTGAAAGCCCATCTCCCGGCTGACAAGGTTGCGACTCCTCGCGATGCGACTCGGATCGAGCAGGCCGAGCAGAGGAACGATCCAATGGGTCGCGTGGATCCGGCTGGAGTGGCAGCGGCAGTGAAAGAGGCGGCGGATTATAACGTCGAGAAAGGATTCGTGGCGCCGGGGACGCCCGCTGGAGCGGGAAGGGTTTAGCAAGGGTTTAAGCAAAAGGCTTTAAAGGGACTCGTTTAGGTCATTGTCATAAAATCCATTTTAGGGCACCTTTAGGATGTAAAAAGAAAACTTCGTGCAGCGCGCGCTCGTACGTCTCTGCGTGCTTCGTGTTGGTTGTGGTTTCGTTGTGGAACAACGTGTTCCACGCGGATCGAAAGGTCCGCGAGCGTATATATGTGCGTGGTTTGAGAGAAAGGGTAGTCTAGGGTTTTTATTTGGAGCGAGTGATCGGCAGAGAGTAGAAAGGCGCTGAGAGAGAGAGAGAGAGAGGAGAGGATATTTTCTTGCTCTGATTGATTTTCGGGCAAGGATCTTGCCCGGGCATTGGATCTCTCCAGCTTCCTCCGAAAATTGGTCCGGCAAAGGCAAAGCCGGGGCTTCTGTGCCTGAAGCCTCGGCATCCTGCGAAGACAGTTCTTCGCAGGATCCTGTATTTCCACTCGCACAAGCGCAAGCGATGCGGTCCCTAGCGATCCCGCCCATGACCATCGGTAGCGGCAGCAGCAGCGGCAGCGACGACGATGAGGACGTTCTCTTTCGCAACATTGGCCCGGCCAGGGTTCAAGAAGATCTCGCCAAGCAATGGAGCGCTGGCGATTCCATGGCGCTCTACCGGATCGGTGGCTGGGGATTCCCGTTCTACTCCATCAACGGCGACGGCAATCTCTGCGTCAACCCTAGCGGCAGCGGCAGCGGCGGTGCATCGATCGAGCTCAGGGCCGTGATTGATCGAGTTCTTGCCGCTTCCAGAGGTAATATTTCGCCTCCGCTCATCATCCGTTTCCCGGAGCTCCTCGGCGCCAGGCTCCGCGAGCTCCAGTCAGCATTCCAGGGCGCCATCCACGCGCTGGGCTACAACAATCGCTTCCAGGGGGTGTTCCCGGTGAAATGCAATCCCGACAAGCTGCTGGTGGAAGAGATCGTGGCGGCGGGCAAGCCATTCGCGTTTGGATTGGAGGCCGGCTCCAAGCCCGAGCTCCTGCTCACGATGAGCGCGATGTGCAAGGCACACCCGGACGCCTTCCTCATCTGCAATGGCTACAAGGACGCTGAGTACGTCCAGCTCGCGCTCCTGGCCCGGAGCCTTGGCATGGATTGCATCATCGTCCTGGAGCAGCTGGACGAGGTGGATCTCGTGATCGAGATGAGCCAGCGCCTGGGGATAGAGCCGGCCATTGGGGTCCGATCCAAGCTCCACACCAAGCACGGCGGCCACTGGGGTGAGACGTGCGGAGAGGGTGGCAAGTTCGGGCTCTCGGCTCCCGAGATCGTGGAGGTGGCGAGGAGGCTGCGGCGGCAGGGGATGCTGGATTGCCTGGAGCTCGTCCACTTTCACGTCGGCTCGCAGATCCCATGCCTGTCGGTGGTGAAGGACAGCGTGAGCGAGGCGGCGTTCCTCTACTGCGAGCTCGCGCTCATGGGCGCCGGGATGAGGATCCTCGACATTGGTGGCGGGCTCGGGATCGACTACGATGGCTCCGCCTCGGCCTCCTCGGACATGTCGGTCGGGTACACGGTTCCGGAGTACGCGAGCGCGGTGGTGGCGGCCATTGACGCGGCGTGCGCGATGAAGAAGGTCGATGCTCCGGTGGTTTGCTGCGAGAGTGGACGCGGCCTCGTCTCCCACCACTCGGTACTCGTCTTCGACGTCTACTCCGCCACCCGGGTGCCAAAGGCCAAGTCTTCCGAGCAGGAGGAGCTCCTGGGGATGGTCCAAGAGCTCGAGTTTTGCGAGTGGGGCGAGCTGGATCTCCCGCTGGGCCAGCTCTGCGAGATGGTCCGGGCCAAGAGCTATGGGGTCGCGGCCGAGTACGCCAGGAACGCCAAGAGCGAGGCGTCGAGGCTGTTCAAGTCGGGGCTGGTGAGCCTGGAGCTGCGAGCCGGGCTGGAGCGGCTCTACGAGCTGCTGGTGGCATCATCGATGAGGCAGGCCCCAGCGACGTACCACATGAATCTCTCGATGTTCAAGGCGATCCCGGACAACTGGGCCCTCGGCCAGCTCTTCCCGATCGTCCCGCTCCAGCGCCTCAACGAGGAGCCGACCGTGAGGGCGATCCTCTCGGACCTCACCTGCGACAGCGATGGAAGGATCACGTCCTTCGTGTGTGGCGGTGGTGGCGGCGGCGGGGACACCGAGCGGCCATCGCCAAGCTTGCCCGTCCACGAGCTCGAGGAAGACGACGGTGTACGGGCGGGCGGCCGTGCGCGGCCGTACTACCTGGGCCTCTTTCTGGGTGGGGCCTACCAGGAGGCGCTGAGCAGCATGCACAACCTGTTTGGTGTAATGCACGTGGTTCACGTGGCGAGCGATGGTGGCGGGGGGTTCAGTGTGACGCGGGAGATTCCTGGCCAGTCGATCGCGAGCGTGCTCCGTAGCGCGCAGCACGACCCAGGTGGCATGTTCGATTCCCTGCGCGCGCGGGTGATTGGGTCGCTGGCCGCGGGCCGATTCCATGGCGAGCGTGAGGCGCGGGTGGCGCTCCAAATCCTGGCCAAGACCTTCTCCAGCTACACCTATCTCCACACCATCGCGTCTACTACTACTACAACTACTTCTGATGTGGTGGAGTGAGTGACATCTACTTGCTCGGTCCCAGAGAATAAGCACCACAAATAACATTGTCAGACCATTTCAATTTTTGCATTCCATATACTGTTTTATGTAACAATCAGAATTTAATAAAGTTCTCACGGCTGTTGGGCTGCTGGTATGGAAGACAATCATGTTTGAATTGCAGCTGTAGCGTTATTACCCTCTAGACTGAGTATAACTTACCTTAGAAACAGACATAACGCCCCCGGGATTGTCTGCTTGCTGCTAAATCGCATGTATAAAACGTGCACTCGTACGTCTGAACGATATCCGGGTGTGATCCTGAGGTACATCTTCGAACATGCAAAGCGATTAAACAACTCTCCAGGAGACAGTTCCGGGTCAAGCAAAACGGTGTTGCTTCTCAGCAACCTTCTACTACTTCTCCTTCTTCGCTAGCTTACGTGAGAATACATGAAAATGAAATAACATTGTCGTCTTAGAATCAGTCGCGATCCTTTTCAAATTCTAAAAGACCACGAGAACTTTGGGAGTTTACTGACGGTGAAAATGTCCCGGAAGTCTCGGAGAGACCAAGCGCGGTGCTTCGCGTATCTTGTAAAGGCGCAACCCTGCAGATTGGTCAGGACACCGCTTTGTTTGACCCGGAACTCTCCTACTGGCAAGCTGCACAAGTCTGGTTAGAGTTGCGCTGGCCTGCTTCACCTTTCTAGAAGACGGGATGACACTTGTGAAGCCTGGTTTGTGCTCGAGAACCTGCAAATTGACATCAAATCCCTAGGGATATATAGGAAACTTTGCTTTTTTGCTAAACTCTGCATGTTTATTTTAAAACTATTTACTATAGATTATTTATTATATAATTTTTAAAACTAACCCGGAAATTTTATTAATTATGGTATATAAATGGCAATCAAAATATGCTGGCAAGCATGGCAAGAATTTGAATTATACTATAAGATCTATCAATTTAAAACACATGTGAGTTTATAACACATGTATGATCTTTTGGATGCAATTATTTTTTAAGACACATGTATACATGGCAACGTCTAGGTCAATGTCATGCATGCAAGATTTTAGTGCCAACTTATTTAGCATATCAGCAGGGTTTAGGCTTTGGGTTCTTTCAGTTCTTGTTAGAAAGTTCTACAACATATATAATGGCCACCTACATTATAAAGTCAATTGATCATTAGCCACCAATGCTTCTACATGTAATAAAATTGAACATATGTTAAAAGTTGCTTTTCTTGAACATTCTAGAGAATCTTTCCAATGGCAGATTTTGGGATGGGGTCCATGAACATGACAGAGTGGAATCTTTTATAGAACACAACCTGTTTCAAGAAAGAAGCTTTTAATGAGTTGACCCAGAAAAAAAATAGATTGGGATTTACAAATCATGTTTTGTAATGATTTTTTTAAAGTTGTCTTCTGAGATAAAATGAAAGAGCTTCTCTAGGAATGAAGAGGTTAAGGGCCTATGCCAGCTTGTTACCATCTATAATGGGGGAGTGGGGTGCAAGCCCATTCTGGCAGAACTATATAGGGTATGTCAGCCACATAGGTGTAGCAATGAAATTCTCACCAACAACTACTCTTGATCCAATAGTCAGCAACAATACAATCAACTTAACAGCTACATGTCTGCCAATGCAAGGTGGACAAAGGTGGTGGTGATATGGTGCAAACACATTACCAAATGCAACTTGGTGCAGTTGAATCTCTGCTCTATTTTATTTCTAAGTCTTCATTGTTATACTTCTTCATAGTAGGTTTTTTGTCACTTCCAACACAACTCACCCTCCTGCTAGACAACTTCATCATGGTGAGAAGATGCCTTATATTTAAGAATTCTACTTATGATTTTCATGGATATCTTTCACATGTAGAGAATTATAAAATGGTGTACATGTGAGCTATTTTGTCACCCTAGGAAAAATGCATCTACTTGTGCATTCTATAACCATAGAGCCCAAGAGAACTTAGATCATGAGTGCATGCTGAAAAAATAGAGGAAGTGTATGTTGAGTAGGAGCAGAAGGAGCAGGATCTTGATGTAGATGATGGGGTATTGGAAGAAGAGTAGGAATTAGAGCAACAAATTTTAGAGGTCAATCAGGAATTGGCAGGATTAAAGGTTAGATAGGAACTGGAGGGTGGTGTGTTTCCTAAGTAGAACCATGATATCAATATTCTTGATGATGAAGCTGTGATGGTCAACATTTGATAGACACTACAAGGTGACATCCTCAATTATGATTCTAAAAGGCAGAAGGGAAAATTTATATCATGGAAGAAATGATTGCTTAGTGGAGAGTATATTGTGGAGAAGCTATGAAGAAGTTTCATGAGCCAATGTTGATTAGACCAACTTCTCAAAAGAAGCTATGTAGTGGCTAGAGATTGCTAAGAAAGGAAATGTATGCATTTAAGTGCTCAAAAACTCCCACTGATTTGTTAAAGCTCAATCTTTTGCTAAGAGCTTTTGGTGTTGCATAGAAATAGGGGTGAGAATGAAAAGGCATCAACAAAATTTTGGCATGGAGAGAAGTTTCAAGTTTACAAGAACTTTTGAGATCTAGTAGCTTCTTTTTGTGAATTACAAGTCTTTCAAATAATCACTCTTTTTATTTGATTTCATTAACACTATTACCCGACTAAGCATCCAAAATTCCCCAACAAGCATCCCATTTCCACCCATGACTGAAAGCACATAAAGGAGGAATCCTACGCAAAAGGAGAGAGATGGTCATAATCAAGAGAGCACACTTAATGAGACAAGAATAAAGCAAAAAAAAAAAAACTTTCACTAAATTTTTAGTGATATCACATTGTGTGCATGGCAGTTTAAGGTATCATGCTCTATAATGCACATAAGCACATTTTTATTGCAATTATAGCAATCAAAACATATGTGCATAATAATTTTGTGTACAATTGAAAAAAATAAATTAATATCTGTACATAAAAATGCACTTATGTGCCAACTCATATTCCTTGCCATATACAAGTATTTGTTTTTTAATATTTTAAGTTTGCAAATTAAATCTTGGGAATCTTATAAAATAATCTGAATGACATGAATTAAATAGAAATAGATTGAACTGTTTAAAAAGTAAATCGGAAGCAAAATTATATGTGAACAAAAGGAGATCTTTCTTCTGGATTTGACAAGCCAAACTGAAAAAATCTCTCATGCCACCAAAGGGTGGTGGGTCAAAGCTGGTAGATTGTGCCACTGGATTGCTTGGGGCTACCATTTAGATGCTGAAGGCATCTCTCATTCCTTTCCAGAACAATCATGGGAGATATCTTGATAGGATTTAAGATCTGTGGTTGAGATGATCTAATAGGTTGATTGGAAAATGCTGCTTGAGGAGGCATGTAGTAATTTGACCACTAACCGTGAGATGATCAGCTTCTTGGAGAGAAGATTATAGATCTTATAAGCCTTGTGTTTAGCACTGTAGCCTAGGTGTTTGTGGTGGGCTCTGGGTTCCATGGAGATCACACATAGCACTACTAAGAAGAAAAGAGAGGGTTTCCTAGCCTAGTTCGAGATGTAAAAAAAAGTGAGCATTGAGGAGGCAATAGCAGTGACAATAGCAAATGGGTTGATCACCAGTTGGAGCTATGAGTGGCTGTGGTGGGCAATAATAAGTATGAGCCCATTACTCCCTGTTCTCTGCTGTTGGACATGATTTTGCAAGTGGGCAAGCGTCTGACCAACATTGACAAGAGAGGCCCTGCTGAGCATACCCTAGAAGGAGTCCAAAGGATCAAAAAGTGCATGGAGGAGGATCTCAACAAGTGGCAAGAGTGACACCAGTGCCTAGAGTAGCAGCAAGGCAACATGACAAGCTCTATTCTTGGCTCATGTTCACTAATTCCCCTCCATTACTCTATGTTATTCTCTATTAAGCTATGTCACTAGGGTTCTTGGGTTTTTGGGAGGAAATCTTGGTGCCGGTGTTTGCCATATGTCTGAGCAGTGTGACCAAGTTGTAGCTAGCTTGGATGCAATAAAAGGAGATAGAAAGCTAATCATTGCATTGGAAATTCAATATATTCCAGGCATGGTTGCAGAAGTGCTTGGTGATCTTCTGTTGTTGCCATGCATGCATCTAAGCAGTAACTAGCTTGAATGCAATAGAATGCTTCTAGATTAATTGTCTCATCTTGAAAATCTCAATGCAGAGATCTAAATATTCCAAATCAATCTCATGTCCATAATTACTATTGGTACGTCAAACATGCCAAGGATTATAGTATTGTGGAATAGAAGTCATCACCGGATGTTTATGTTAATTCTTGGTTGTAATTATGGGAAAGTTGTTAGTCTCATAATCTTTGTGAGGATAAGGTAAAAATTAATTTTTTTGTGATAAAGCTTACTAGTGCTTCTGGGCAAGCATTCAAACTATGATAATGAAGTAGAAATTCAATTGCTCACTCTAGGGATTAATCACTCATGCTTCCATGTACACAAGAGATGTTCAAGCATGCTTGTCCAAGAGCTATATAGGTAATGCATTGGATAGCCTCATTCTACCACAATCTCTTGCCTTTTCAAGTTCTAATTCCAATCACTATATCTTGGAAATAGCCTTATAAGGCATTTAGTTTGTATGCATATACAGAGACCAAAAGTTGAGCATTCAACTCTAGATTGATGCCACATTAGAAGACATAGCTAAAGCTATTATGTTGCTTATAGGTGCCAAGAAAAATTTGATTGTTATAGCCATGAATAAGCTTTTACACTTGCCAAAGGATGGGGATGTTCTTGCTAATAAGCTTCTTTGTGAAAGTGTAAACATTTGTTGTGACAGATAACCTTGTTGGGTAGTGTTTAGTTTTTCTTAGACCAAATATAGAGGACTACAATGTCTCACGTCTGGAAACTCCCTCTATGTACCTTGCTCTAAATATCCTAAGAATGACTTATATTAAAGTTGTGCTTTTTTTCTCATAGAGTAATTTGTATATATATTCTGGTTGCCCTATGGCTTTAGATGCCATGATTCTAGGAACAGAATAACAACACAATCTAATCCTTTAAAAATTTAGGGCTTTGAGCTATTGAATGAAGGGATGGATTGAACTCCCAAGCATATAGCCAAGGAGCAAAGGAATAACTCTCAAATGTATAGCCAAGGAG